CTCTTCACTTTCAGCAAGCAAGGTTGTATCATCTGCATATCGCAGGTTGTTAATGAGTTTTCCTCCAATCCTGACACCACGTTTTTCTTCATAGAACCCAGCTTCTTGTATTATTTGCTCAGCATACCCAGTGGCTTGGAAGGTGGTTGGTGTCCGTGCGGCTCCACGCGCTGCGCTGCACTTTCTGAAAGTTTTTGCTTGTATCTCTGATATATTGGTGCCTGAATAAACTGCCTTGTGAAGGTCCTGGATTATTTTATATCTTCACTCTAGATGATCACATGAAATATGACTCCTTCAAATTGAGATGATCTGTGAGGCAGCAAAATCTGTGAGGCAGCGAGATCTGGATTCCTGGTGTGGTGCTGTGGGTTAATGTGCCAGACTCCAAGGCAGTTTTAAATATAAGAAGCAAAAAGCATTCTCTCTCTCCCACGGAGGGCCTGCTGGATTCGAGCTGCTGACTGCAGGGTTTGCAGCCAGATTCTTAACCACTACACTTCCAGGCCTTCCATCTTACAAGATGGCGGATCCTGTAGAAGTGTAGTGAGAGCTTGGTCAACAATAACATGGAATACTGGGACAAGAGGGCTCATGAGATGGTGTTGAAACTCTGGAACAAATATAAAGGTATGTTTGGAGGATTGGAGGGTTTATAGTTGGGAAATTTGCAGGAGAATCCAGAAATCCATTCTTTTCTGGATCAAGACACTCAGCTGTTCCAGGAGCTGCCAACTTGGGAGAGTATAGCTTGATTGTATCAGGATTGATAGGATTAGGAGAGAACATCTTGATTGTATCTTGATTATATCAAGATTGTATCAAGGGGGGCGCCCAGGGCGGGCCGAGGAGGGGCTGCCAACCGGAGCAGCTCTGGCTCCCTACAGTACCTCCCCACTACTGGCCACGTCTCTGCGCCGGGCTTCGGTGCTTTCCCGACATCTGAGGGCCGCTGGGCCGTTGCAGGCCTCCCACGCCCAGATATGTCTGATATAGGAGTGGAGAGCCTTCCTGTGTCCCCTCTGTGTCACAAAGTGTGCCATGGCCTGGGAGTGGCTCCCGGAGCCGCAAAGCCCAAGCTCACACTGTACCAAGCTCACAGCGCTCCAAGGAGGAAGAGGAGTCAACACTGGAGCACGGCCTGAGCAGCTTCCTCTGACCCCTTAGCCTAGCAGAAGGGAATCGTGAGCTGCTCCCAACCTGCTAGCAAGATGTGGACAAGCCTCGTGCTCGTCTGGGCTTCTGCGTGCCCTCCTCTGAAATCCAGGTGGCACCAGATTCTTCAGAGAACCTGGTCCCTAACGAGATGGCGAGCCAGTCAATCAAGAACAGCTCACCTGTGGGAACTGTTGCACGGGTTGGAAACAAGACGTCTGAAAGAATAACCACAGTGATGCCGCCTATCACACGAACCAAAGGGGCTCCGGTGGCCACCACCAACTCTACTGCAGTCATGACAGAGACAGCAGAAAGGGCAGCGGTGGGCGTGGCAACAACTGTGGCACCTGTGACCGACGTCCCGACCCCCAGTGCCTCCATGGGGCCCGCGTTGTCCTTCCCCACGTCTGCCACGAGGACTGTTCCCACTCTGGACACCAGGCACCCACCTCCCAGCACACCCCACGCCCACGTGCCAGGGAGCAGCAGCACTTCGCCAGGAACAACAGTAGTGACAATGCAAGCCCTGAGTGACAAGACAGTGGCCACGCCAAATGCAAGCGGTCTAGTCAGCACGCACAGTCCTTCCAAACCCATGACAGGCAACTCCACAGCAGACCTCAGACCCCCCACAAGCCTCCAGGTCCCGAACACAACTGCACAAGGCCCCACCCCCCGGGCGTCAACTGGCCAGCCTAGGGCCACCACAGCAGGTCGATCCACACCCACTCTGTTGGAGACAACCCTCAAGCCCACCACCATCCCCTCTGTGTCTTCAGTGCCCACGACAACAGCAGCCACCACCAAGGCACACTTGAAGGAGCCCACCGCCAACACAGCGCCAGCACCTCACACCAGCCCAGCCCCTACAACCCAGATGCAGCCAAATCTTACACCATTGACCCAGGGGCCCACAGAACTAGCCTCCACCCAGACCCTGGGGCCGATGGGGACAGAAGCC